AATGGCTGCCAAGTTTTTTAAAATTTTGAGTGAATACCAGTTATTCAAATTTGATAAATCTTTTTTAATTCTACAGATTCATAAAGTCAAAAAAGTTCATCAAATTTGGTTTGATAGTTGTTGAAATGTCTCAAAATAAATTATTATGCCAATTTTTTTTTAAATTTTAAGCAAAGATATCTCAACGATTATCTAATCAAAATGAACTTTTTTATTTTTATTATATGAATCTATAGGACAAAAATAAAAGAAGTTGGTTGTTTGTTTATTGATATATCTTTGTCCCAAGTATAAAAAATTTTAGTGCTATTAAAGAAATGTTAATTTTTCAAATTTAAGTGAAATTATCTTGGCAATTATCCAATCAAATTTGATAAATTTCTTTGATTAATTTATCAAATTTGGTTAATAGTTATCAAGATATCCTTAGTCATTACTAATCTACTTAAATTTAATATGTTTAATTTAATAAAAGGTATAGATCATGCATTTAACTATAGATTTAAAAAAAACACTTTTTGAAAATTTATTTGTACCTATAAAGTTTTAACATTAAATGATTTCAGCAATTGTTTTCTAAAAATAGTGGATCAAAATAATTTTCATGTATATTCTGAATACATACTTTATAATTTTGCTTAGATTTTTTTTAATTTTATAATAAAATACACATAAAACAATAAAAAAAATCTTTATAGTTATATGCAAACAATTTTTTTATGTTAGTAGGACTTTTGCTTATTATGGCAATCACAAAAGTTTTTACAATTAAAAAAATTATTTGTTGTTTCAAAATAGTACGTATTCATGAGTATACTTGAAACATATGTAGGGTTATTAAAAGTTGACTAAGGTTTGTTCTTTGAATCATAGCATAAATACGTTGAGTTTGACTCATAACTATTTATGAACAGAGTTCTATGAACCCCAAAAGAATAATACTTTACCACGTAACGCGGATATATATTATTTGTTTCCAATAAGTATTCTAACCCCTAAAGATATTATACGACAGGGTGAAACCCGCGTTGTGAATTGTGAATTAGTAAATCCGCTACGTAGATCACATGAAGGTGAAATTCGCTTTTGCATAACAGATAATAAAAAACATAGCTAAACGCAGATTTCACCCTAACGTGATCTACGTAGCGGATTTTACTAATTACAACGCGGGTTTCACCCAGTCCTGATATTATTTGTTTCCAATGATTATTCTAACCACTAATAGGACTAGTCGAGAACTGGTCGGATCTCATTAAACCCCTTGAATTTTCAGATCAGATCAACTTCTGATTAATAGACTTGACTTTTTTGGAACTGTGTCCAACCGAGTGGGATTTTAAATGATAAATAATGCACAGGTATTAAAAATAACGCGTTATTTTGAGAATTTATGATTGGTTATAAAATAAAAAAGGATCTGTTATTTCGCATGACGTAATAATATTTTTTGTACTTGGGACTATTAAACTATTATATTTGAGAAATTCTATGTATGAATTGTAATATTATTGCTACTAATCGCTGCTATAGTTTTGAATCAAGAAAGCAAAAATTAATGTGTTGTAAAAATTTATAATGACAAGATATATATGCTATAACATTATGATTAATTGGGAACGTTAGTTTGTAAATAAAATAAAAATATTTAATAAATACTATTACATAATCTATTGTCCCATCTATATAAACATTTATCTAAATAAATAATAATAACACCTAACCCATATCCGGCTGAACAATTTATGAAAGAAAAACTTCTCTACAATACAATATACCCAACATAGGTGGACCTAAAAATAAACCAAACCAAAAGAACGCATTTCCCAACCATTTTTTTTCTTTAACAATTGGCAATTTACTCAATGCAATTAATGGTAATTGAAACATTTGCAAGAAAAACAAGTACATTCGAATCTTTTTTGATACAACCACCATCACTAATTCGTGGATTAGACTAGATAAGAAAAAGGTCATAAATGTTGCATCACGTTTTGATAGTTTATGATATTCTAAGGAATATTGATATACATGACGCAATAGAAAACGATGTACTGGTTTATTCCATTTTCGAGCAAATTCTTCCCAAGTTGTACTATTTGAATGAAAAAAAAAGTTAATAAAAGTAATCGCAATTGATGACAATTTTTTTTATCGGTATGAACTATAAATACCTGTTCCACCAATCATCATAAAAATTACGATCAGCGAATCTGTGAAAAAAGATATATTAATACGGTACTTAATAAACATGTGAAATAAACGAAAAAATAAACGAAAAAATATATAATATATTACCTTGTCAATTCAGCAAAAACATTACAAATACACTCAAAGATAATATAAAAAATTAATAGATAATTAACCATGAAAGGAAATAACATTTGTATCATAGAGTTATAAACCGATGTCGAAACGTTCGGCAAAGTAGGAATTATGTATGTTTCAGTATTGAGATATAACAAAAAGAAGGTACCAAATGTCGCTACAATTTTTTCCAAAACATACCAAGGACGAATTCTAATAAAAAAGAAAGGGTTTAGTACAAATAGTTAGTAAAAGTTAATGAATTGAAAACAAAAAGTTAATGAATTGAACGTACTTTTCAGTCCTTGGATATTCCAATTCATATACTAAAGTAGGTACCAATAAAAAATCCACAAAGTTCATAAAAGTTATATTATTTGGATAATTAGTAGTATTTGTAGGACCAGAAAGATATCCTTCGACTTGCGCAATTTTTTCTTTTAATTCATCCAATTGAGCAGGGTTTTCACTGGCATTATCAGATTTTTTTGATTCACCAAGTAGGGTTGAATATTCTTTTTTAAGATCGGATAAACAATGGGACCAATCAGACAATTCACCATTGTAAAATGAGTATGAATGTAATTTCATTAACATTGATATTGTATGAAGAACAAAGAACCCGCTCTGAACCCATGGCCAGTTTCTACATAATAATAATAAGAGTATTAAATCGAGTATTAAATCAATCGAGTATTTATATTTGACCACAATTTTACTAAAGATAATTTACCTCACAAATGTCCAATAAATAGGTACAAACAAGAATGAAATCTGGAATAAATGTTGAATAATCATTCCAGTATATCTCCAACGAATCCAACGCATTGCAATTAATTTTTGTAATAAGACAGCAAAAAACATAGAACCAATCATAGCAGCATCACTAAGAATTAAACATATAGCATCTTGAGAAAATAATCTAAAGAATGATAATTCAAATAAAATTCCTGCCGATTCAAAGTTTTTTGACCAAGTTTGTATAACATAGAATCCCATTGCAATCCAAAATAAAGTAAAAAATCCTCGAAATGGATCTTGAGCAGATTCTAATTGCTCTCGATCAAGTTGTGAACTACGTGGTCTAAAATTTTCTATACGTTTTGCTATTTTTTTTGGTAATCTACGTAGATCATCATCGGAATAGCTCTTGGTTATGATAGTTGGTGTCTTAAGGGTTTCGGAGGTATCATTAAGAGGTGAAAGAGTGGATGAGATATGTTTTTCAATTGTAATCATATCACCAACCTGTTATAATATAGTTTGAAAAAAAATATATATATATATTCCATGAATTGAGACGACGAAATGTCCGATAGCGCCATTTAAATATCTAGGGATGTCATCAGCTTTATCCAGCTTGTATATTTATAAAAGCCGATTAATGAATAGAGTTGAATAGAGCTGAATGAGCCGATAACATCCCTATGAATAGTATACAAACCTGCGTATTGTGTTTTACCATTCTTTATGACTTATATATAAAGGTTAATAAGTGATTGTAAATTTTAAATCAATTAAATTCACAAAATTACTCTATTAATTGTTATATTAATTGTTATATTAATTGTTATGGTGCATAAAAAGATGATTCGATGATAATAAAAAAAAAAGGTATTATCAAATTGTCAAAATTTTTAAATTTAAAAATAAATGACCGAATGTTCGCTTTTATGCTTATAAATAAGCCAAGAATGACTTCGTGACCACAGATTGGAATTGGTAAAGATTTGTTTTTTGCCACGTAGATCGGGAAACAATTTATATAGGAATTAGAAATCAAATGACATGCATATACCTGTATATTGACTTGATTGGTAAACTATACATACTAGTTAGAAATTCTATTTATAGAACAGTTGTAATTATCATTATCGTTATCGTTATTGTAAAAACGCGATTATATTTGTTCTGTGTTATGTTGGCCACGTGAGACAGGAAACCTTTAATAGTAAGCGTGTAACCCATGTACTTGTTTGTAATGATACAATTTTTACTTTTTTATGTTTAGTAGTAAGCGTGTAACCCATGTACTGGTTTGTACGTAATGATACAATTTTTACTTTTTTATGCTTCTAGAAACCTGTAACAGGTAAGTATCATATTTTCAAAAGTATATATGCTAAGGAATATTGTCCTACTATGGCTATCGACCTAGGGGGAATAGCCCTGAATTAATAGAGTTAATAGAAAGTAGGTTTGCAAATCATAATCGATATTCTCAGGTAATGTCTAAAAAAATGTAAAAAAAGATAAAAATTCCCTTTCTAAGCTAAACCCTTGTATCTCATAACTTAATCGGTCTTTTTATTTTTAATAAAAATTTTTAACGTTTCATCAAAGGTGGTCGATTATTGGGATGTACGTACGTATCGTATCGGTCAATCTACAAACTACGTAGTGAAAATCACATCTGCGTTCTATATTAAATTATTTTAAAAGTCTATTTTATTTCGCCTTTAATTTCTCCCGCAATATTTAACATTTTTAAATTCTATAAAAGCAAGATGTTTAATGAAAAGTGTCTATAAAGTAATAACGTTAGAATTTTACCTCACTAATTAAAATATGTCACGGCTTACCTGAATGTCCGCTATCATATGATTTACAAACATAATCATTTTTAATAACTTTTGAACCAATAAACATGTCAAATAGAATTGTACTTGTCAAAGTTCTCTTAACGTGCTCTTTAAATTTTACAAGAAAACCCGATCAACGAATTACTAAGTGGCCGCAGTAAATCGTATGATAGCGGACACTCAGGTAAGCTGTGACGTATTTCAGTTAATGAGGCCAAAATTTTATTATAGAAATCTTTATCGTTATTAGCGTTAGTGATTTTCACTACGTACGTACAGTAGCCAACAAAAGTAACGCCCGATTTTTGCTCAATATGGAATTTTTTTATTAATAAAAATTTGACCGCACATACATAATTTTTTTTTTTATTTTTTATTTAATATTTTGATGAACGACCATCTACAGCTGCAATAGCCTCGGTTCTTTGTGTCATT